AAATTATTAAGCTCTTATTCAACAATTACCCATAGTCTCGAAAGCTACTTATATTGAATGTAAGTAGTATCATATCAAGCACAGGTTCGCTTACTTCACGATACTACCACAAAATGTGAATTGTGCTAGACCTGGCTTGCCTTGAATGTGACATCCGTCATCTGCTTCATTGGCGCCCGTTGGTAGTGGAGTGAAGTGGAGTGGTGATATCGCCACGATACTCACGAGCCGGACTGGTGTTGAGACCAGTTCAGGCGAGGCCGAAACTAGTCAATCCTGAATAAGATAGCCTTCTGGGATGGAGAGCTAAATGAAATTCAATGACATCATGAGGCGAACCCATTTGATTGTGGGAAAATTCAAGCAACAGTCCTCAAATCGTTTTATGAAATTTAGGCTCACTTGGCATGGATTCATCAAAAAGAGTCTGACTTACTTCCACCAGTAGTATGATCTCTAGGTCTCAACAATCTTTGTATGTCATATCTTAGTGCTGCTAAGTTAGTTGGGACTCATCACTTCCAACCATTCATGTGTAAACATTGAAAAGATACCCTGATCCTTGGTCTGTGGGGGAATTTGTTATTATACATCTTGATTTATAAGCAGGAAAAATAGTGCATTAAAACGCAAGCAACCACGTAAAACAGTGTAACCAACAAGTTCTGCTTAGTTGCTAGCCCAAAAGCCTGGTCATAGTCCAAGGAAAAGCAGATTTTGAGACTAAAAGAGACTCCACTTACACATAAGATTGCGTGATGATATGTTTCATAGTTATATGTCACCAAAAGACAACGGAAAAATGAATAATTTAGGCTGATGCGGTCTTCGAGATATCTTCACCATATTTCGTTTAAGATGATTAAGGTCTATCAGTTGAATTTTCCCACAATGATATGAGTAAATCTCATATTTACATCTAATTTCACACAGACTTTCTTCCCAAAAAGACATTCTCATCCTAGTTGGGCATACCTTTTGGGAAGCAAGACTATGGCGACTTGAATTAAAACATAAGATCTACTTATATCATTGTGGAAAAAAAAATAGGGTGAACACATTTCATATCGTAATCTCGAAACCTTACTTACAAACGAACAAAAGCTTTCCTTTGTCATGACAATCAGCAACCGCCCTCAGAGATGAAACTTATTCATATAAGGGCTTTTATAAAACACCATACGTTCATGTTCATGTCCATTTATGCACATCTGGGTTTTTGCGTGCGTGTGTGTGTGTGTTTATGTGTTTGGGTTCAAAATGATGAGTAGATGTTTGTAACCCAGATAAATTTCTCTAAGATTAAGTGGTGACGGACCTCCATCTGGTTGAGCCGATGAGTTTAACATGTGAATAAAGAATAAAACCTATTTCTCTCTTGTTCCACTTAAAGAACTTCCTCGAATAACATAGCATGAATACATGGTATATTATTTTTTATCTAATTACTTTCATACTGGCTTATTAACAGATGCTTATTTTGCATTATCTAGCAGGATAGCATGATAGATAAAGTTTTATTTGATAATAAAAAGAAAGAACCCAATAATAAACTTTTTTTAAAATAATATGAAATGAATAATAGACTATTATTATTAAGATTGAATTTTTCAATTCGCCACAATTCATTATTGGTGCATTCGTTATCGGTGCATTAATAGATAATCCGAAATTCAACCACTTGTTAAATTGTAATGAAAAATATCCTTGACTAAATAATAAATGATTCTGGATGGCTGTTACACCAAGTTACAATCACTCACACGCACAAATTTACGGCAAAATGGATAAACCAAATAATGCTGTACCTCCCAGAATTCACACATTTTTGGAGAAAAAACGCCGCACAGTGATGAGCCGGTCGCTTGAACACCCTATTGATATGAGATACTTGCAAGTAAACTGACAGATAAAATCTCAATTATGGTTGATCTAACCCGAAGGAATGCGCTTCTAGAACAGCATAAACTGGGAAATTCCAGTAGTCCCGTGCAACTTCATATCAAAAAGGTAATCCACAATCGTCGGCCGGCCAGACCGACATAAAAAATCACTTCAGTGAACACTTGCTAAAGCAATGAAAATCAGCAAAAGACGAGATTTTAACTGGTCAGCTTCTGATCAAGCGGATGTCAGCTCTTGACGACGTCAACTACAGTCAACAAACTTATGAACTTTCCCGGTGTGGTCTGAGCCAGAAGCCTCATTAAAAGCGTCACGCATACATTCTGACGGCCTCCTTCGCCTAAGCTCGCTTTCTATCGTCTCATCCTAAATCCTCTCTCCTCCTTCCCTTCGGTTGGTTGCGGGTTCAGTCAAAAATCCCTTTATTAAAGCTCGCTTTCCGGCTTTTTATATCTTAAACCAGCAGATTCTGTAGAATTTCGAACAGGATCGCCTCACTTCCAGCAGCATCATTCTGCGGGTTTGACAGTCTTGTGATTGTGCTTCTTCAGACATTTAAGCTCACCGGCATTTGGGCCTTCCTTCTCGGGTCTGGAGGGGTCTCTGAGTCTGCCTGACTCCTCAGGCCGGACGTGACTAATCTGCGAGTGGACAATTAGCACGTCGACCCTCAACTCAGCGACCACACGAGCCCAGTTGATGGTTGAGGCCTGCACTCTCACATATTCCGATGTGAGATCAATTTTCACATGTTCCTTTGCTGTATCTGCACGATGCTGGCGTGTGTGCTTGTGTGTGTGTGTGTGTGTGTGTGTGTGTGTGTGTGTTTAAGAATGACAGGCACCAGTTGTTGGGTGAATGTTCGAGTATTCCTAACCAAGGGAGCTTCAGGGCTGCTTTTGCAACTGAGACGACGAGTGTATGTTTGTAGGGTGTGTTTGTGTATATGTGCATCAACGTCTGTGTGTCATTGTGTGTGTACACATTGCTTGTATGTCTATTTGTATTGATAATGACGATATAGTCTACCTCTGGTACCGGGTGAAAATGGAGTTGACTGAGGCAAAACGGATAAAAGCTATCGGACAAGTGACAAATCCCGATAAAGAGATTAGCGAAGAAGCAGACGAAGAAGAAGAAGAAGATGAGAAGGAATAAGAATAAAAAATATTAAGACAAGAGTAGAGGAAACTAGAAGAAAAATAATAGGAAGAATAACAAGTAGTAGAAACAGTATTAACAAGCTTTCGTTATTAAAAGTAGGCCTGTTCGTGTAGAGGTAGTCAGCCCATTTCATTTAACGCGATGAAGAACTGGTATGTGAATTTTTTCAAACATGCTATGAGTATACCTCACTTTTGTATTGGAGTTCACATAATCATACTTTACAAAAGGTACAATCCTCCAGAGTAGACTGCAGTTTCGATCTCGCTAAGACCAGGCATTTTCACATGCCGCATTCTGTGGTGGGATTGCCGATTGATTGATTCATTTATTTTTCGCTTAAAACTAAGTCTTGCAAGACTGTATTCACTCTATTTTTCTAATTAAGTATTGTTTTCGTGACTACCAGTAAATCAGTAGCATGAGATGTATTCACACAATTTCGAGTAAGGTGATGGAGGACTGGTGGAAGAAGAATTTTCCCACAATGATATGAGTTGAGCTGACGTTTCCATTGAAAGCAAAGCTCAACTTATATCATTGTGGGAAAATTCTTCTTCTGCCAGTCCCTCATCAGCTTAAACGAAATTGGGTGGATACATCTCATGTATTTGCTCTTTTTAATTTGAGGTAAATATGGTAGTCCAAATCGTGCGGTAGATGATGGCAATGTGCCTGTAAAAATGAAGTTTATTGAGGCAAAACGGATAAGTACAATCTGAAAACTGACCAATCACGGTAAAAAGGTGGGCAAAGTTTGGATGCTTTGAAGAAGAAGAAGAATGGGAAAAAAAAGAAGGAGAATACGAGGCAGAATAAGAAGATCGAGAAGAATAGGAAGGATATGAATAAATAAAAGATGAATAACACGTAATATAAAATGAGAAAGAGGCAGAAGAATAGGAAAATAAGTAAAAAATGGTCGAAACAATAGAATAAAGGGAGGAAGAAAGATAAAACGGTCCTCCAATACCAAAGCCAAGCCTGCCCAGTTCGAGTCTGCTTTATGATAGGAAATGTTGCCTAAATCCGGCAAAGAACAAAGGAAAAGATTTTTCTGGGCTTCGTTGCTGCCCACAAGACTCCAAATTCCCTGACCTTGTATGACCAAAGGCATACTCGGTAGGATTTCGAAACTGGTACTACGTCAGAACGAAGTGCGTTTTCCACTTGGAATAGGTCTGTCGTGTAGCAGAGGGACGGTGTGTCGTGAAGTAACACACACACACACACAATGACACTTCTGAAGCAATCCGAGGAGGCAAAACATCCTACAGAATCCCGACAGTGATTGAGCATTGATCATGTGGCTTTATTTCGCCATTAGATTTCGATGTTTCCAGTCTTCCGGTGGATTATAAATGTACGTTTCCCTTTTGTAGTTAAATTCAATGAACCACTTCTTTGCACAGACTTTGCGTAACTTCACAATTTCACTCTTTTAAAGATACCAAAAACTGGATTCAAATCTAGGTTCTAGTAAAGACTAATTGGTCTGCCGATAACCACATGCCATTACGGACCCCAACCACTCTTTTTAAAATAGGAATCACTGAAAGAGCTTCTTAACTTGGACCTCTCTACAACAGAAGATAGTTCATACAAGTGGGTTGACCTCACTGTCGCAACTTGGTATTGTTGTCAGGAGGACTATTTAGAACGCACCTAGTCTGAAGTCTAGTTTGTCATAGTAGTTGTCATGACTCCCAGCATCAGA